CCCCGATTGTAAATTCTCTGATTGAATAAAATAAAATACAAGCAAAATAAAAAGCTAATATATAAATTAAAAGAGCCAGTTAATTTGTATTAAATAAATTTTTAAATTCAAAAATATCACTCACAATCAAAAACAAGCAAACCATTTTTACCTAAGCTCAAGTTTTAAATTTGAGAGATTAGTGCAATTTGCTAAACCATAACCTAAGCCTGATGAAACTTCACTGCCAATTTGATTGCCACTTTTGAATTATTAAAGAAAAAATATATAATTAATTTGTTATTTATAAGGAAAAATTTAAAATAATAAATAATTAATAATTAAAAATAAAAGCATAAGTTCAAAATGAAAAAAAGAGTTAAATTAACAAAGAAAGAAGGGAAAAAAACACAAGTAGAATAATAAAGAAAAGGAAATATCAATTAAATATAAAGCTAATAAATAAATTAAAATAGGTAGTTAGTTATATTGTTTTAAATTCATTTTTATATTAAAAAATATCAGAATCTAGTACAAATAAACTGTTTTTACCTAAGATCTAATGCTAAACTTGAGAGATTAGTACAGTTTGCTAAAGCAGAACCTAAATTTGATGCACCAATCGCACCAATTTAATTTTAACTTTTATAATAATAAAAAATTTTAATTAAATTAATTAGTTAGTTAGATTGAAAAATTAAAGAAATAATATGAAATTAATTTATAATAAAATCTAAAATTGAAAATAAAACAATCAGTTAAATTAATAAAAAAAGAAGAAAAAAACACAACCAAATAAAAAAGAAAAAGAAAATAATTGAATAATATAAAATAATATTAAATTAAAATATGTTGTAATATTGTTTTAAATAAATTTTTATATTAAAAAATATTACAATCCAAAATAAATAAATAAACTGTTTTTACCAAAGATCAAGTACCAAATTTGAGAGGTAAGTGCAATTTGCTAAACTATATCCTAAGCCTGATACTCCTTCATCATTAATTTAATTTTAACTTTATAAATATTGAAGAAAAATTTTATAATTAATTAGTTAAAAAGAAAGAAGAAATGATAACAAATGAATTAATTAGTTAGTAATAAAAACATAAGCTGAAAAAAAAAAAAATTAATTTAAACTAATAAAGAAAGAAGAAAAAAAAAAATAAAAACTTGCAGAATAAAAAAGAAAAAGAAAAATAAACAAATAAATTATTAAAAGAATAATTAATTATATTGTTTTTATATTACAATCCAAAATAAATAAACAAACTGTTTTTACTAAATTACAAGTGTCAAATGTGACAAATTAGTGCAATTTCCTAAAGCAGAACATATGCTTGAAGAACATTTATCACCAATTTTGTTGTTACTTTTTAAATATATTAATATTTAATTAATTAATTAGTTAATTAGAAGGAAAAAATATGAAATAATTAATCATAAAAGCTAAAATTAAAGATAAAAAAGGGTTTAAAAAGCTATTAAATAAATCAATAAAAAGAGTTAGTTATATTGTTTTAAATTATTTTTATATTCTAAAAGATCACAATCCAAAACAAATAAACTGTTTTTACCTTAGATCAAGTATCAAATTTGAGAGATTAGCGCACTTTCCTAAATCAGAACCTAAATCAGATGCTCCAATTGCACCAATTTTATTTTAGCTTTTATAATATAAAAGAAAAAATTAAAAATTAATGAGTTAGTTAGCTATTAGGAAAAAATGAATTAAAATATGAAATTATAAGAAAAGAATTAATTAAAGATTTAAGCAGAAGTAGAAAATGAAAAAATGAATTAAATTAACATAGAAAGAAAAAATTTATAAACACAATAAAAAAAGAAAAATAAATAGTTAGTAAATAAATTTAAATAGCTAGTTTTATTATTTTGAATTAAATTTTTCTATCAATAAAAATATCACAATCCAAAACAAATAAACTGCTTTACCTAAGATAAAGTGTCAAATTTTAGAGATTAGTGCAATTAGCTAAAGCGAAACCTAAGCTTTATGCGCCTTTATCACCAATTTAATTCCAACTTTTTAAATATTATAGAATAATAAATTAATTATTTAGAAGGAAAAAATGAAGAAAAATTATGAAGTAATCAGATAATAATGTTTAAATAATAAAACAAAAATTTTTAAATAAAAAATATGTTAAATACTTGAATAAAAAGAAGAAAAAAAATAAAGCAGAATAAAAAATTAAAAAATTAAAATTATTTTAAATTAATTCTTATATTAAAAAATATCAAAATCCAAAACAAATAAACAGTTTTTACTAAAGGCCAAGCATTAAATTTTAGAGATTAATACAATTTGCTAAAGCAGAACCTAAGCTTTATGTGCCTTCATCACCAATTTGATTCCAACTTTTTAAATATAGAAGAAAAAATATATAATTAAGAACAAATACAAACAGAAGCAGAATAAAAACAAGAAAAATAAGCCAAATATAAAGTTTATAAATTGATTATAACAAAGAGCCAGTTATATTGTTTTCAATCCATTTTCAAATTAAAAAATAACAATACAAATATAAAAACTGTTCATTACCGAAGATCAAGTGCCAAATTTTAGAGATTAGTGCAATTTGCTAAAGCAGAACATATTTCTGATGCACCAATAGCGCCAATTTAATTTGAACTTTGATAATATAGAAAATTGTAATTTAAGAAAATCAATGAAACAATAAAAAATTAATTAATTTATGATACAAAAAAAGTTGAAAATGAAAAATGAGTTAAATTACCAAACAAATATAGGGAAAAATAACATAAAAAAGAAAATAAATAAATTTAAATAGGTAGTTATATTGTTGTTAATTGATTTTTATATTAAAAAATAAAACTATTCAAAACAAATAAGTCATTTTTACCTAAGATCTAGTGTTAAATTTGAGAGATTAGTACATTTTGCTAAAGCAAAACCTAAACTTGATGCAACACTTGCACCAATTTAATTTTAACTTTTTAAATATTGAAGAAAAAATAAATATTAAATCATTTGTTAGAAGGAAAAAATGAAGAAAAAATATCGATTAATAAAAAATAAATAATTAATAATCAAAACTGAAAATAAAAACTAAGTTAAAATAATTTAAAAAATATTCGTATAAATAAAAATGAATGATTATAGATGTGTATTTCTATTAGAAAACTAATAGTATTAATAACCTGAAAATTAAATTAAAAGAAAACATTACTAAAAATAGTAATAATAATAATAATAATAAATTAAATATACCTCAGAGCAATATGGAGAACCTAATGATATTAAATTGAAGAGTTTAAAAACTTTTTTATTAATAGAAATAAATTATAAGGAGATAAATAATAAAATATTTAATTACTTCTTCTACATTGTCGAAATATTTTTTCTATTATATCATTTATTTTTCTTTAAAAATATTGAATAGCAATTAATTGAGATTTAATTGATTATAAGTATTTTTAAAAATTTATTTTAGTTTATTTGAAATTAATTTGGATAAAATGAACAAGTAAATTAAAATAATTATCAAATATAAATTTATAAATTTGCTTTTAGGAAAAGAATTATCACAAAAAAGTTAGTT